GTAAGTGTTTATTTGTTTTAAAATTAGTTTTACATTCAATAAAAAAACGTTAGATCCTCTTATTTACATGCATTATTTGAAATAAAAAAAACAATCACGATACAATCCGTTTAGCATCTTCATTGTTTCATATATATATATATATATATATATATATATATATATATATATATATATATATATATATATATATATATATATATATATATATATATATATATATATATATATATATATATTTTACAGTTTTCGAACATCGGACGTCCGTACATTATGGATTTATTATCAATCGGAGGTCCGGTTTTCATTGGACGTCCGTATAAGGGACGTCGAATGTCGAAAACGTTAATATTAATTTTAGGGTATCTATGGGGTTGTACCATTCCATTCGTACCTACTTTAAGGGAGACGTCCAATGTCGGCGTTATGAACGAATTCGTATATATTAGTTCCCTAGTTTGACAGATGCAGCGCTAACATCGATTTCACGTTCGATTTATATACGTATATAATTTTCATGCTAAGCGAATCGGACGTCCGACTACTTGGCAACGTGGCAGTAGCGGCTGGGGATAATATTAAATGTTGTTATTAGTGTGATGAAGAAGTAGAAGAAAATATATGCCGTAACAATCCGTAGGTACGTTATTCAGTTAAATGAAGTCCGTATATTATATATACCTCACAAGCATATGAAGTCCAATTTGTATATGTTTTGTTTATTCTACGAATATGTGAGTTCCCTTAAATTTTATACCTGTTTTCTCTGGCTGGAACTGCTGGACGGTATAAGGGCAAAATAAGTATTGTTTTACCAATTTTTTGGTACTAACATTTTTTCCCATACAGTTTTTTCCTGCATAGCATATATAACAAAGTAGAGATTTTGTATTTTAATAAATTCTGAATAATCCACAATTACATCTACGAAATTATGAAAATGACATCCCAAAGTGAAAACAAACCAAAGAAAAATAAACGAAAGACAGAAAAAATAAGTGCATCTACCAGGGATCTAACCTGGAACCTTTGAACCATAGCCGTCCATGCTCTTTCCAGTTAAGATATCGAGGCACAAGTCTTTTTATATCCGGATTCCTAAATTTGAAGTCAATTATATTCCAATACTCGTCGGCTCAAACAGAAAGGACGACAATCAATTGCACTAGAATAAATTTATTCCTTGGTTTACTTACTTTCTTTTCATTTTCACGTTTACTACAGACCGTAAGCAAAAATGTAACGCTAATGAACGAATGAATGAGTTTAGAAATTTATTCTAGTACAATTACATTGTCGTCCTTTCGTCAAGATATCACAAGGGTGGCTTTAAGAAGAATTGTGAGAACTGGGATGAGATTAGAATTTGTGTTTGCGCCGACAAGAGTCGGAATCTAATTGATTTAAAATCTACGAGTTCGGATGACGAAAGCCACGTGTCTCGATAGCTCAACTGATAAGAGGTTTTAAGTTTTATCTCTGGTCGATGTAATCTTTTTTTTTTTCTTTCCTTAATTATTTTAATTTTTTTTTGGTTTATTTTTACTTTGGGGATATCGGGGTGTATTTTTCATAATTTTGTAGAGGAAATTGGGAATTTTTCATTTTCATATTTCCAAAATTGCATTTCAGTTTATTTTTTTACTTCACTTTCTTTCATTTTAGTGCAAGAAATGGTGATAGTGCCTTCTAGAAATTTCAAGACAGGACTGGAGTGTACATTTGGGTATATAAATAGAATTGTTTTACCATTTGAGTTAGTTGAAGTCGAGATATTGTTGTATAAAGATAAATTATAAGAGTATGAGTATTTGAGAATAAAGTGTTTAAAATAAATAAAAGTTACACTAATTAACTGCGTACCTACCTACTTGTACAGGGATTAAATCTTAGTCACCTAGTAAACATAGTTTATTTTAAAGACTAGATAAAAACGCTTGAATACGTTAATTTTTATTTTATTCTAGAGACTATAACATAAAAAACTATTTCATTTCCTTCACGTGACATTTATCCCTCATTTTTTATTAAATAGCATGAAGAAATTTTAATAAAATGATAATTTTATGGTGAATTTAGTAATATGACTGTTCATTGAGTTATTTACTTCTAATTTTAGGAATCATGATAGAAAACAGTTACGTATTGTAAAGTATCATCTTAAAGCTACTTTTAATGCACTACATAATATTATTTTAACTATAAGATTGCATTATTAATAACTATATTTTGTTGAAAGTGCAACATGAAGATAATGAAGTTAATGTTATGTGGTGAATAAAATTGGCTCTCAAATAAAGTAACCCGGGTTCGATAACTGTCGGTGAAAGAAATTTCAATTATTGAATTAATTTATAATTTAGGAATGTATACGGATTTTACACTAAAAATAACCCATGTATATCGGCTTAACTATTTGATAAACTTATTTTTTCTTTTTTCGATATTTTTCATAATACAGTTTTCGAACTTCCGTTCATAGTTCGACATTCGGAGTTCCAAATGTATAAATATTGTGCACTCTACCGCCTATTAGACGTCCAACAGTGTTGCCACGTATTGTTGTTGTTTAGTTTCCTATGAAAAACTATGGTCACCCAGGTAGACCTGCTTTACAAGCTTTAAATTTAGTAATCGATCGATATCATAACATATTTTTTTCAGCTAGTATTGTATAGGGCGATTCATTACGGGCAGAGACCGGTCGTAGCGCAGGGGCAAAAATTGGAAAGGATTTTCGCAATTCTCCCACGTCATACACAGGATTTGACAGTTTTGCCGCAGAGTTAACCGAAGTAGTGAACGCTAAACATTGGCGTAGAAAATTATTTTATAGGTGCTAATAACAATTTCGTATAAATATTTTAATAAATTGTGAATAGCTGTAGAAATTTTGTAGAATTATGATTTTGTATATTATTTATTACATTAAGCCCATAAATAGATACGATTGCCCGATTCGGTAGCTAATTATTTAAAATGTGAGTTATTATTTTTATTTTATGATACAACACTGACAAATAAACATTACCGTAAAATTATTAAAGTCTTCCGAAGGGGTTTGACGTTTACTACCTCTCTACACGAAGGCCTTTCCAACTGTCTCTGCTCTATCTCGTAATATCTTGAAGTACATTGCAAAAAAAATCGGATTTTTTTTTCAAGGGAGACAACTTTCTAAAATATCATTAATTGTCATTTAATTCCCCTCCTCTTCACCACTCTGACTAGTACAATTAAAATATTGAAGAACTAAGCATAACACGTTTCGAAAAAGTAATTTTATGGGAAATTCAGCATCGATTCTTCATTGCGTTAATTTTTTATTTTAAAATGACATATTATAGTTAGGAATACTTTAAAAAATCTACTTTAAGATATTCTGAGATACGGCCGTGTATGAAAGCACAAGAAATCGTCTAGACTCAAAATAGCAGAAAATTTAATTTTGATGCATAACGTACCAAAACCTGAAAAATATTAAAAATATTTTTTTTAACTATCAGATTTTAACGGGTGTTTTCCAAAATTCTAATAAAAATATAATATAATTTGTGTTTTAGTTTCATTAAAAAATTCTCAGCAATCGAAATATTTAACTATAGTTTATTTGAAAATGCATGATAAATAAACTATAATATTTTTATTAGGCCGATATGGCCAATATACCGATACCGATATCTGTATTAGTCGATCCACATTTTAAATAATTGATCATAAACGATAAAACAATCCTTTTTTTTTCAACAAGTAATTTAAATTAATTGTTTTATTGTTTAATCATACTATTATTATTGTGTCAGTGTCATCGGCATAAACTACTAAGTTATCAGCCTCGTGGTCAGTGAACAATTTGTTACTGTTTTCCACAGCTACTTTACTACCATCTTTGTTAATTGGAACCTTACAGTGAATGGTCAAGTGGGGAATCCTACCTATGCATTAGAATTAATTATTAATTAATTCAATTAATGAAATTTCTTTCACCGACAGTTATCGAACCCGGGTTACTTTATTTGAAAGCCAATTTTATTCACCACATAACATTAACTTCATTATCTTCATGTTGCACTTTCAACAAAATATAGTTATTAATAATGCAATCTTATAGGTAAAATAATATTATGTAGTGCATTAAATGACTAATAAAATTAGCTTTAAGATGACACTTTACAAGACGTAACTGTTTTCTATCCCTATTCCTGAAATTAGAAGTAAATAACTCAATGAACAGTCATATTACTAAATTCACCATAAAATTATCATTTTATTAAAATTTCCCCATGCTATTTAGAAAAAAATGAGGGATAACTGTCACGTTAAGGAAATTAAATAGTTTTTTATGTTATAAAGTATCTAGAATAAAATAAAAGTTAACGTATCCAAGCGTTTTTATCTAGTCTTTAAAATAAACTATGTTTACTAGGTGACTAAGATTTAATCCCCGTACAAGTAGGTAGGTACGCAGTTAATTAGTGTAACTTTTATTTATTTTAAACACTTTATTCTCAAACTCTTATAATTTATCTTTATACAACAATATCTCGACTTCGACTAACTCAAATGGTAAAACAATCCTATTTATATACCCAAATGTACGCTCCAGTCCTGTCTTGAAATTTCTAGAAGGCACTATCACCATTTCTTGCACTAAAATGAAAGAAAGTGAAGTAAAAAAATAAACTGTAATGCAATTTTGGAAATATGAAAATGAAAAATTCCCAATTCACTCTACAAAATTATGAAAAATACACCCCGATATCCCCAAAGCAAAAATAAACCAAAAAAAATTAAAATAATTAAGGAAAGAAAAAAAATGAGTACATCGACCAGAGATGAAACTTAAAACCTCTTATCAGTTGAGCTATCGAGGCACGTGGCTTTCGACATCCGAACTCGTAGATTTTAAATCAATTAGATTTCGACTCTCGTCGGCGCAAACACAAATTCGAATCTCATCCCAGTTCTCACAATTCTTCTTAAAGCCACCCTTGTGATAT